ATTTCTTCTTATGGGGCTATGTTGAGGACAAAGTGTATTCGGAACCAGAAACAACGAAAGAAAACATGAAGATGAGGATAAGGGAAGCTTTTGCAAATATAACACCAGAAATGTTGTCAAAAGTAAGGAATTCGATGAAACATGTTTCAAAAATGTATCCAGCAGAATGGAAGACATTTTGAACATCTCATGAACTGATATGTTTCATCAGTTTAAACATTTCTCATTGTCAGTTGAATTTTCTCTGTTTGTTATTGTTTTTGAATAAAAATGTACAGTTGAATTGATTTATCGTTATTTACCATTTACCTATCGAAGATTATCGTTGGATACGGTCTATATGGTATCACCGAAAAGCCCATTGGATGAGCATTCAGATCATGAAATGATATACAGGGTGATCCATTTGAAAAAATTGAAATAGCGAAATTCGGTCCTTATTTTAAAACACCCTGTATATTTTGAGTGAACCCAAATAATGTCTGAGTTTCTACACACACTTCAAGTATCTGTATATCCAGTTCTGTTCATGAATCTTCGAGAATATAGTTTTCCTGAATATTTTTCAACATTCATGTTTTCTCGTCAATTTTGATTAAAATGTTAATAACTTGACAACGTCGCATCTGATCTTTAAAAACAAAATAGGTTCGTGAAGCCCACATGAGAGAGATTCCGAAAATGAAATAATATACAGGGTGTGTCATTTAAAAAAACGATCGATTCCTCCACCTCGGATTCATGGTGCACCCTGTATAATAGAAAATGATTTTGAAGGGTAGCTTATGAAGTCTCCAATAACTTCTGATGGAATTTTTTTTCCTATCTTTATCAGCCTAACAGCTATGGCTCGAGCGAGCATAAGTGGGCCACCCTGTATACCATATCAGAAAAATGATGATGTTAAGGCTTCTAACTAGCAAAAATTGATTACCCTGGTCGAAATACACCCCGAGTACCTATTTAAATATTTTGCCAGGCCGTAGAAGGGATACTACAAGGGGTGAATATAAGAAAATAATTCATATCTCCTTCAAATGATTATGTTAAGGATCCTAACTAGCAGAAGTCGATTGCTCTGGTCGAAATACACCTCGAGTACCTTTTTAAATATTTTGCCAGGCCGTAGAAGGGATGCTATAAGGGGTGAATATAAGAAGATAATTCATATCTTCCTTAAATAATGATGTTAAGGATCCTAACTAGCAGAAATCGATTGCTCTGGTCGAAATACACCTCGAGTACCTATTTAAATATCTTGCCAGGCCGTAGGAAAAATGGAAAGTCGTAGTCGATTATCGTAAAATAAATGAAAAAACCATAGATGACAGGTATCCAATACCGAATATTAGCGACATTCTAGATAAACTAGGCAGGGCACAATATTTTACAACACTCGACTTAGCGAATGGATCCATCAGATTGAAATGAATGAGAACTCGGTAGAAAAAACAGCTTTTACAGTAGAAAATGTTCACTATGAATACCTCAGAATGCCTTTTGGTTTAAAAAATGCACCCGCTACTTTCCAACGGGTAATGGATGAAATTTTGAAAGATTTATAGAATAAAATCTGCATGGTATACATGGATGATATAATAATTTTCAGTACAGGATTACAAGAACATATGCAAAATCTAAGACAAGTATTTTCAAAATTACGTGAAGCACAAATGAAAGTTGAACTCGATAAATCAGAATTTCTTAGGAAAGAAGTCGAATTTTTAGGACATATAGTAACGCATGAAGGTATCAAACCAAACTCGAAGAAAATTGCAGCAATAAAATTTCCCAATACCTAAAACACAAAAGGAAATAAAATCATTCCTAGGACTATAAGGTTATTATAGGGAGTTTATAGAAAACTTTGCTAAAATAACTAGACCAATGACACAATGTCTCAAGAAATGAAATGAAAAAGTTGAACACAATAAAGAATTCGTTGAATGTTTCAATATTTGTAAAAATATATTAACATCAGAACCAGTATTGACATATCCTGATTTCACGAAAAAATGCGAATTAACTACAGACGCCTCAAACTATGCTATAGGTGCAATGCTCTCTCGAAATGGACACACTATATGTTATGCATCAATAACATTAAATCCAGCCAAAAATTAATTATTCCACTATAGAAAAGGAATTATTAGCAATTGTTTGGAGTTGCAAATATTACAGACCTTATCTGTTTGGACGAAAATTCACAATTTCGAGAGATCATAAACCCCTTCGAAGGTTATTTTCATTGAAAGAACCAAATTCAAGATAAGTCAGATGGCGATTAAAACTTGAAGAATTCGATTATAACATTGAATATAAAAAAGGAAAAAAAAATCAAGCCGCAGATGCTTTATCGAGACACCCTGTAACAACTGAACTAGATTTACATGCAATCGAAACCGAATCGCTTACAACCAATCCCGGAGACGTAGACGATATAATCGCAGATTATATACAAAATGCTGACCAACTTCCCCAACTAGACGAACAAACTATTGAGATATTATCGAAACCTGATAATGAAAAAATAAGAATAATCTCAGACGTACAAATAAGTAAACCTTTAACGCAAAAAAGTAACGACGAAGAAAATAATCAAAATGATTTAGAAACGACACACACTTCTGTCGAAGACCCGATATTTAAAATTCCAATTTCAGAACGATCACTGAATACATATGAAAATCAACTTTACATACGAGACAGTGAAATGGAAAAAATCCAATGTAGAATAGAAAATGTTTTCGATCATATATGAACGACCATAACAATTCCAAGAAATAACCCAGAACCTCATATAATGAAATTCATTGAAGATTTCATCGATCCAAAACAATTATATGCTATGAATTTCAAAAATCCAGAATTAGCAAGAATGTTCACTATAGTAAGTCAGAAGTATTTCCAAAACATTGCTTTTAAATTCTTACAATGTCCTAAGTTTCTCACCGATGTAGAAACCTTGGAAGAACAAAAACAAAAACTTGATTACTATCATATTTTCAAGAGCGGACATAGAGGAATAAATCAAATGAAAACATCATTAGGTTCAAGATACTATTGACCAACAATGGTCATGGATATTGAAAATTACGTCAATAAATGTGAAACATGTCAAAAGAACAAATATGACAGAAACCCACCAGTAATGAAATTCAATTTAACCCCAACAAGTTCGAAACCCTTTCATCACATCCATATAGATACATTTACTATGACTATCCAGTCGCCAGACCTGCTGACAAAAAGAGACCGGCAAGAAAATCTTTGCCTTCGACCATTCTGACTTACTCTCCGCATAAACAAGAGTTAGAAAATTCTTGTGTTAAGAATGTGAAAGTAGTTAAGAAATGTGCTCAGTCAGAATCGTAGTTGCAACCAGGGTCAAAATGATATTGAAAATCTAAAAGATAATGAGAATCAGAGTAAAAAAGGAGGACAAAATAAAAAGTCCATAAAGGGTCAAGTTAAAAGTATCGACCAAAATAGTAAATACTTATGTATTGTGTGTGAATCGGAATATTCTGTCAGCAGGGAGGACTGGTATCGATGTGAGCTTTGTTTGGAATGGGCTCATGAAACTTGTGGCATATAAGATGAATTGTATTTCACATGTCTCTCATGTGATGAGTGATGTCCCATTTTGAGAAACCAGAAGTCCCATCTTAGGTGACAGGTGACCTGAGATGGGACACAAATATGTTGTAAAAAAAATTGTTTTCCTTAGTTTCAATTGTTTTCGGATTAATAGTGGAATATTTCAAATGTATGACTATTAAACTATGAAGATTAAAAATTTCGCCTCAATTACACCTGTGGTTTTCGTGCAATCTCATTCAAGGGAAAAAGTGTCTCATCTTGGGCTACATAGAAATCAAGCTTCCAACCCTAGTCAAGATTCCAGAATCCTGCAGAATCACAATCAAAAACAAGAAGTGAGTCAATGAAAGAAACATTCAAGAAGGCAAACCACTGATTCTTCCGAAGATCGAAATACAAGAAAATCAACAAGTAGAAAACTACCAGATGCCGAATTTCACCAGAATTAACATGGATGAAATTTATGAAATTCAAGAAATGGACCAACAGTTAGTACCAGTAAAACTTCAAGAATCTTCGAATGTACAATACAACACAATCCTGTGGATCTTAGTTGCAATTATCATCATAGTCCTTTTGGTAATTGCATGGAAAACAAGAATTTGGGAAAGGCCCTCATTCGTGAAAATATTTAGGAAAGAAAAAAAGAAAACCCAGGACCAGGAGACCCAAACTTCTTCGGAAAATCACTCCGTGATTTTCTCATCATAAGGAGGGAGGAGTTACGTGCATGGCACGAGCCAAGAAAACCGCTGACGCTGTCAGAGATAAGCCCCACTAGACCAGATATGATTTGCATTGTATAATTTTATAATTGAATCAATCTCTTGCTAGCTTTTGTAATGAGCAGTCGCTTTGAGAAAATGAAACTATTTTTGAAAAACCTTTTCGTCGTTGAACAACCAAAACTCTTATTATCGCGCTTTCATGAAATATCAGCAAATTTATACTTTCAATTTCATCGTCTGGTATCTTGAAAACAACGAACGTACGGACATACATTCGAAGGAACTTTCCTTTTTGTCTTGACATCAGCAACACGTCCCTGAATTGTCTACACGTACTTGAGAAACGCCCTGTATATGGGGTGTGGGGGAACTTTTGTAGCTATATGGTCATGTATTGAGGGAACTTGAACAATGATGAATATTTCAAATTGCTTATCCCTAGCTATGGTGACAGAATAGCTATTAAAACTTATTCAAGTAAGGGTAATTGTGAGAAGAATCAAGTTTTACTGGAAAGATAGCATGCCACTTGAATTTAATAGAAAAAATTATTTTGATAGTGGAATTGAAGCAAATGAAAATGTAGGAAAAGATGCGAATACATCAGTAAAACAAACTCGAAAAATTGAAATGGGTTGGATCCACTATGAAAACGATCGTTTCCAGCAGGTTCGTGCAGTAAATGGTGGGGTTACGAGAAAACTGACTGCTTCAAAAACAGACAAAAAAGCAGATTTGTCGAAAGCGGCAGTGAATTTATTCTTTCCTAATGGTAATAGCCCGAAAGGAAACCTTTTCGAATTCCGTACGAAATGATTGGATTTCAGAAAACATGAAATAGATGAACATTTTACATTAGAAGATATGTTCAATATGTTCAAAATGCCTTATATTCGTTTTTATTTATCTACTACAAAAATTCCATCTACAGTTACTAGAAGTCCAGCATGTTCTTCTGGAAATGAGAATATTTCTGAAATTCTCAATTTTCCACCCACCAGTTATGATATCAGGTTTGATGATAATACAACTGAAAACTCGTCCAGTGTCATTTCTCAGAATGGTCAGAGATTTGATCTACGAACAGACCATATTGATCTGGCTTCTCAATCATCACAGCCTAATGCATGGCAGTGTGAAGCTCCACCAATAGAAAATGTAGAAGAACCAGATGTACTACCTAAAGTGACTATAGAACAAGAAAATGACAATTCAGGTTCTGAAACAGATGATGACTTGAATATTGCTATTCAGAATAGTTTGAAAGAATCATTGACACCTTCTCTGAAAAGCCGCAATATTTTAGCAATATTTTAGAAGAATCTTTTACTGTATTCAATATCAAAGGATCAGAAACATTTGTTGGTGCTGTCAGAGCTATGAGCAGAAAAAATTGTAATTCTCAGAAGATTCCTTCCATAATGTTCACTGATGACTTTGGCGTCTCTGAAGGTGCGATAGACTCTGGAGGTCCTAGAAGGGAATTCTTTAGGCTTGTTCTGAAGGATCTGCAAGGCAGCATTCTGTTCGTAAACATATGTTTATCTTATATATTTAAGGACCCAATATAAAAAAAAACTATAAGTTTTAGAAACGATAAATTACTTGAGAATAAATAGTTTTATTGCTGGAAGGCTTATGAGTATATCACTGGTACATGGTAGGCCTGGACCTAGATATTTTTCGAAAACATTTCATTCCATAATACTGGGCTATGATGTACAAATGACAATTGAAGATGTATATGATGAAGATATTTGAAAAGAAGTGGAAAAATTATTGGGAATAGAGAGTTTACAAGAACTCAATGAGCTCTTATGCAACAGTGTCCTCTTCAATCTGTCTGGATGCCAACATATGTAAAAGATTTAACAAAAGAATCTACCAAATGACATATCATCACAGCTCACCAAACAAACAGCTCACTGACTCTTGTCGGTTCTTTTCTGACGTCAGCGGCACCATTTGAGAGCTAAATACCAAAATAGGCCGATTGAAATCAACTTACCTGTGAGCAGCGTTGAGCCGTTAGAGGGCGATGAAGAATAATTTCATTTCAAGATTTTCTTGAATCTTTCAAAACCATAAATCGAAAAAAATTGGTCTAATATACGTATGACCACTTTTTGATATTTCAATGAATGACAAAATCATTTATCTTACTTCTGACTGCAGTTTTCTAGATATCTAATGAATTTCATTTTGGTGCTTCCCCATACTAATTTGTTTTAAGATATCAGTGATCAGGATTATCATGATGTGCAAGTTTCTACCTCATTTGAGTTAATTTATTGACCACAATGATCATGTTCACTATTTCCCCAACTATTCGTCATATGATTTGGAAACTGCATGGTCATTTCCGAATTCTATTTTTTTCTTTCTCGCAAAAATCTATTGGAGGAAACATTATTATAGTCAATAATCCTACACAAACGAGGTACAAACTTGCAAAACACGATAATCCTGATTCCAGATATCTTGAACAAATTAAGTATGGATGAAAGCACCAAAATGAAATTGTTAGATATCTCGAACACTAGGGAAAATAAAAAAGTTGCAGATAAAAAATCTTATATTTAATTTTGTTATTCATTAAAATACCAAAATGTGGTCAGTGTGTACTTCAAAAATGTTACATCCATTTTTTTTTTTCAAGAGAATGCGTATATTGATCAGATTGTTATAAGTTTTTTTTTATGCACATTCATGATATTAAATTGCTTTACGAATTTTAGAGCAACTTACCTTCCAAGGACGTCAAAATATTCAAAAAATTCTGGAGATGAAATTTTTCCACATCGCCTTCTCACGGCTCGACGGTGCATATGCGTAAGTTGATTTCAATCGGCCAATTTTGATATGGAAAAAATATGAGTAGTATTTTCAGTGGTTCCATCTGAATAATTCGACATACCTACAGGGTAATATTTCAACACAGTGTTCGCTCTGCCTCAAAACAGTCAACACAACCTGAGTTGCCTGCGATTTAGCCAACCGCTCAATAAGTGTGTTAGCCAAAATCAGTACCTCATTATCGAGCGATTATCGAGCGATTACTCCAGCGATTATTACCAGCGATTATTACATTGTCATTATAGTGTATTAACGATTGGGCCGACCGGTCAATAACTGTGCCAGCCCAATTAAATACCGATAATTTCAATACATTTATTCTTTCTTTGAATATTTACTAACATTGTATTTATTTCAGAGAAAGCAGCGTTATTGTCATTATAGTGTATTAACGATTGGGCCGACCGGTCAATAACTGAGCCAGCCCAATTAAATACCGATAATTTCAGTACATTATTTTTCTTTTTATATTTGCTAACATTGTATTTATTTCAGAGAAAAGCAGCGACTTTGAAATCTTATAGCCTGCCGGCCTTTCAGGCGGCTATAAGGCCTCAAAACCCAGCAGTTAGATCTTGACTACGTGTCTAGGTGTGGAAAGCAAGGTACGGCAAAGTCAGCACTCGATAACTCACTTTGAGTTATTAGAGACTGTCTTTAACCGTAGTGCCCCTACACAAGGGCTTCCACATCAAGACTCGGCCTGATCCGAGCCTAGCAGAAAAAATTAGTAAGGAAACAACCCCTATCCCTCAATAGAATTCGCAAACAATAAAAATATTCTCCCAAGGGGACAGCCATGCAAGGCAAACCCTAGGAAGGAAGAACAAATACAAAATCGAACACACTAATAAATAAATATGTCTCCCATTCTGCCAGGCAGCGACATGTTTGTCGACAAAACCAACCCCAGCAGCAAGGCGAAAAAGAAGACCACAGTAAAAGTTGGCAGAAACTCGGGCAAAACCAAGGCGGCCAAAGAGACGAATCTCAATTCCCTCATTCAATTGCTGAGAAGCCAGAATGAACAGCAACAAAAACTGATTGAAAATCTAACCAAAACAATTGAACAACTGCGTAAAGACCTTGAAAACTCAGCAGACATGCACTTTTTAGCTAAGCAAGCTAAAATCAAAGCCCAAGAGTGCACGAAAGCCGGAGGAGAAGGAGCGGCGGAAACCTTTGATGCTCTAGCAAGCATGATCAAGGAACAGACTGCCAAGGCAGTCCCAACAAACAAGGAAATCACCCCTCCTCCCCAAACCCCCCCAAAAACCGTACTTTCCATACCGGAATATATGGAAATCGAAGAGGAAAAACAAAAGGGAATAAAGAGGAGAGCCTCATCAAGCCCTCCCCCAAAAGCTTCGACCTCAACCGCAGCCCCCACCCCCCAAAAAGGCAACGACGAGCCAGCCAAAAAAACCACTATTCCCCCGATTGTACTGAAAACACCGGGAGAATGGACTACGGTTAAAAGAAAGTTGGAATCCAATGGAATTAAAATTCCATCAGTAAAACTTATGAGAGGAGGTTTGAGAATTCAAACCAATGATGCCAATGAATACAGAACCACCACCAAAATCCTAGAACAAGACAAACACGAATACCACACATATTCGCTCCCTGAAGATAAACTACTGAGTGTAGTGATGAGGGGAATCGACATGAGTGTGGAGATTCCAGATATAGAAGACGATTTGAAGAGCAAGGGGCTTGAAATCAAAATCGTCCATAGGATGAAATCCTATAAAACCAAGCTGGATTCACCGCTTGTGATAATTCAAGTCCCCAAATCAGAAACCAGAATTTGGGAAATCAAGGATTGCTGCAGCTACGTAGTAAGAATTGAGGCCCAAAGACAGGTTAAAAATCAGATTCCACAATGTCATAGGTGCCAGAAGTACGGCCACAGTCAAAAGAACTGCAGATGTCTCTACAGATGCGTCAAATGCGGAGATCAGCATCCCACAGCCGATTGTACGAAGCCCCGCACTACTGACGCTAAGTGCGCCAACTGCAGTGGCAAACACTTTGCAAATTACCGAGGATGCCCGAAGTGCCCAAAACCAGCAACAAAAGCAACCCCTCCAAAACCCAACCAAAAACCCACTCCAAAAACCCAGCCAGGAAAATCCTACGCAGCAGCGACTGCTCCCAAAATCCAACCCCAAAAGGCTCACAGAGACCCTCAACAAACCCCAACCCCAACCCTACCCCCGGACTTCATGGATTTCATCCAGAAGGCCATAGGAACCGCAGTGCAACAAACAGTTGCACTACTCAGCAAGCCATCACCGGTCAGAAATGGCGCATAAGAAGGACTGCTTTTCCATTGGCTCTTGGAACATAAACGGGGCCAAGGCAAGAACAGCGGAACTGGAAGAATTCCTATCCAGGAATTCGGTGGACATAATGGCGCTCCAGGAAATGCGATTCACTTCAGGTAAGACATTCAATATGACTAATTATTTTGTTTACAGGAACGACCGGATCGGCAGAAGAGGCGGAGGCACCTTACTGCTGATCAAAAAGGACCTTGATCATTATCCGATCAACACCCCAGCACTGGTATCCCTGGAAGCAACCATGGCGACTGTGAAAACACGAAACCACGGCGACATCCATATAGTATCAGCCTACCAATCCGATACCCAAATAGATATCCAACACTATACACAAGATATACACACGGTTATATCTGGTCGAAATCCAACAATAGCAGTCGGTGACTGGAATGCCAGACACCAGAATTGGAATTGCGCTACCTCAAACATGAAAGGAAGACTACTTGTAAAATACCTTGAAGTAAGCGAGGACACCACTGTGCTAGCCCCAACAGAGCACACCAGATATGACTACAACAACACTCCGAGCACAATTGATATAGCCCTCCTGCGAGGACTTGAAATGCCAGTTGAAATTGCCACCCACCATGACAAATCATCTGACCACGACCCAATCCTGCTGCATGTAGGAAAAGGAAATGAGCCGGACCAACCCATCAAGAGGAACAAAATCAACTGGACCATGTTCCAGAGAATATTCCATGACCGAATGGGCCCAATTCCCATAATAGTCACAGAAAATGACCTGGAAGAGGCAACAAGGACCTTTGAGCAGGACATCAAAAATGCTATGGAAGCCAGTACAACAACCACACACACCACCAGATGGAATCTACACGACTCCAGTGGCTAGTCTTCTATTTAGGCCTACGGCTGCGTAGTCGACAAGTCTGGTTACTTGGAGCTCCGTTGAATGTTGGCTTCGAAAGCCAAACTGTTCGTTCGGTAAAACGCCAAGATCGGTGGTCGATTCCTCTAGCCTGCTTTGTATGACTCGTTCTATCACTTTGCTGGGTGCTGGTAGTAAGCTGATTGGCCTGTAGTTCCGTGGCAGGGTAGCATCTTTGTTAGGTTTCTTGAGCATGATCACTGAAGCTTCTTTCCAGGTGGTTGGAAAGTGTTTCAGTCTCAGAACGGCGTTCGCTATATTAGTGAGGGCTGCTATTCCTTTTCGGGGGAGTTGTTTTAGGGCTTTGTTGGGGATATTGTCTATCCCTGGTGCCTTCTTGGTCTTCAGGTTCCTGATGATCCTTTTGATTTCCTCCGGCGTGGCTGGTCGCAGGATATCAACGGGAGCATCATGTTCTCTGAGTCGCCTAATTGCTCGTCTACATCGGGCTTCATGCTGCAGATCGTCATTTGGGGTAACGTTTTCCACAAACTGGCGCTCTAAGGTGTCGGCAAATGCCGATGCCTTGTCCTCGTTTGTGTAGGCGATACCGTCTGTCCTTGGAGGGGTGGTATGGGGGTGGGACGGATCCTGAGTAGCTTCTGCATGCTCCAAAAGTTCCCTTAACGACATAAGCTTTCCGGCCCAACGTTCGTTTTTGTAGTTTTGCAATTCTCTCCTTACTTCTCGGGCTAGGTGCCTTGCTAATTGGTTATGTTCGGGTTGCCTGGTTCTGATGGACAGTTTCCTGGCTCTTCGTTTTTCCCTCAGCAACTCGCGTAGTTCTGGTGGTAGATCATGCTGTAGACAGTTTTGTGGACATCTGAGTGCGAGGATGGGGCAATTTGTGAAAATCTGCTAATGTGGCCGCGGATTGATAACGAGGCTCTGGCGATCTTCTCAGGGGCTCACAACTTGTGAGTACGGGAATGGTGAACCCGAGGTACCCTAGCCGGATATTCACCATACTTCAACTCGTCTTAGGTGATATCCTCTTCTCTCTTCCATTTTCAATCTTTCTATCGGCCTTTCTTGGCCAACTTCTCTTTTCCTCTTCCCCTCCAAGCCCAACCTCACCATCAAGTGGTGTGGGGAGGACAGACCGCAGCCGCTCGACGGATGCAGCATTTCGGGACCATCTTTGCTATCTCTGGACTAGATGGGACAATTTGTGGACATCTGTGGCAGGGATGGGGCGATTTGCTGATGTTTGTCCAGGTGGTCGAGGACTGGTCAACGAGGCTCTGGCAACCTAATCCAAGCTGTGGGAACCCGTGGCGATGGATGGATGGCACCGAAAAATGGTGTCGCTAACGGGGCCTCTGGGAAACAGGGCGACATCCCAGAGTAAACAGCCTTAGCCCTGTGCAGGGGGGACCACAGGGCTGGACCAACCCCTTCCCCCGTCACTCGTAGGAGAAGGAAAACTTTTGGCCTTCTTCGTAGACGAGAACAGGGAGCGGAGGAGCAATCTTCAGGAACCTGAACGAAAAGGGTCTTTTATATTGAAGTGTCCCTTAATAGGCACCATGAGTCGTATGTGGTAAAATTGATAACGGCATGTAGGTGAGATACAATGGGCCACTAGGCCTAAGTGTCGTCGGAGCCTACAACGGGGTGGAGTGTTTAGTGGGTATACCATGGAGGGGACTCCCACACTATCATATGGGGGATTGGACCCATATGATGTCTATGAAAGATTTCAACCACCTCGGCGAAAACAAAAAAAAAAAAAGCTGTGTGCTATATCGTCCTTTTATTATGAAACCAACCTCCCTAGGTACTGATTCTTCCAGAAACGAGAAAAACTTTATAAAAACTTGGAATGGATTTGATTAAAGAAGAATTGAAATTACGTAATGATAATATCATCGTTGTTATTACGAAGGGACCTATTTCGATATTCACCAACAAATATGTGTTTTTTAATGAAAAGGTAGGCGATTTTTTGAACTTTTAGTAAGTTTGTTTATTTATCTATCACAAAATCTATGTATTGGGTGCGATAATTCAGTGAAAAATTACAGTATTAACTGAAACACAAACTTTTTTGTATAACTAACATTGAAAATTGGTCAGAGGAGTGTGACCTTGGGGAAGTGACCTTGGGATAGTGACCTTGGGGAAGTGACCTTGGGATAGTGACCTTGAGAGCGACCGTGGGGAAGGAGTGGTTGATGACCTTGAAGACTGAGTCGACCTTGGGGGAGTGGCCTTGACTAGAGTGACCTCGAGGGAGGAGTGGTTGATGTCCTTGAAGACTGTGTCGACCTTGGGGGAGTGACCTCGTGTGGTGTCCTTGAGAAGAAGAGTAACCTTGGGAGGCGTTACCTTGGTGGAATGCCCTCTCCCTGACCTTGTATGCGCATACATTCAATCGCTATCGACCTTGTTCCCTATTGGAGGCTTTTTCGTGAAAGTGGGGTGCGACGTGGAGAGTAGTAGGGGCGTTATGGCACATTTCCTCCACATATAAATTTCTCCCCAAACCAGACGTAACACACAGTCATCAGCCAGAATGTGGTTCTGTAATGTTTGCGCCCAATCGTTTTCACGCAGTGATAACTTACGCCGCCATCAAAGAGTGTCATGCATAGGGAGTGTTCGCCCATCTCTTTCGAAAAAGCCTCGATTGGATAATGCTACACCATCAACATCCAGTAATTTGGAAAAATGTGCATGTTTTGACAAAACTATTCCTGTTGATAAGATGGCAGTCCATAAAAGAACGTTGGAACATCGGACGAATGCTTGCTCCAATTACATGAATGTTGTATACTGTGCCGTAATCTCAGGTAGGGGGGTTCTTTGGCTTAAGTGGATTTTATTCTTGGTAGGGAACCAGCAAATAAACACGTACTTCAATAATAAACGCTGTATTTTGGTATATCGCTAAAAATATGAGAAAATCTAACGTGATACCTAAGTTCATATATAATGTTACCAGACAATAACCTTACCTAAAAAGTAGGCAGAAGCAGCCGAGACCTCAGGCACTGCGCAAACAAGCCTTTTAGACCCAATAACGATATAAATCAACAACGCTTGAACATATCAGTGAACGACAATCGGTACATTCGCAGACAGGTAAGAAAACTAGGTTCGAAAGCGCGGGAGGGGAACCTCGAAGGTTATCTCTACCCCTTCATTTTGTGGCACAGATCGCTTGGCCCATAGGCAGCGTGGTCCGTAACAACAAGAGACACATGACCATTTACCGTGACTATTAGCCCGGCTCAATACGTGATCGAGAGCGCATTCAAATGTCGCATCATCAGCTACAGATTGGAATGTAGGAGTGAAACATTGGATTACAAAACATTTTTCAATGAAAATAGATCAACAATAACTTCACTATTGGAGAATGTGCTTTCGATTCACAATTCCATCTAAGTCAATATGGAAATGTTTTTTAGATATGTAATTGAAGCCAAGATCTCTGGATTTGGGGTCTATCCATGGGCGCCGCTACTTGAGGGCAAGGGGGGGCGGCCGCCCCCCCCTGGATTTTAGCTTTTTCAGTCAAGTCAGGTACTTGGATAAAAGTAATGTAGTAAATGAACATTTTCTTGGATGCTCGTGCCATATCAAGTGCAATTTTAAATACACTGAGGGGTCTGAAGCTGAATTTGGATAACCTTGTTGGTTTAGGATTTGATGGGTGTTCCACGATGGCTGGTAAAGAAAATGGAGTGCAGCAACTAATAAGAAATGAATATCCCAAAGCAACCTTTTTTCATTGTTCATCCCATAAACTCAATCTCGTCATCAATGACCTGAATTCTGTTCAAGTTGTCCAAAACTCTGTAGGCGTCATTAAGGAAACAATAAATTTTTTCAGAGATAGCCCAAAAAGGCGGGCAACGGTTTCTAACTTGCCGTTGTTGTGTGAGACTAGGTGGTCAGCAAAATATAAATCGATAAGGCTTTTCTTTGAAAAATTCATTTCTATCACAACAGCATTACAAAATATGTCAGTAGATGGAAATTTCAATGCCAAAACAAGGTCAAAAGCTCAACAACT